TTATTGAAAATAGCAATGCATTCACCCTGAAATGACCCTCTGGTTTTCTGAAGTCTGAAGCTTAGAACGGCAAGTTTATGTTTATTTCTTGTGTTAAGATTATAAACACTACTTTTCTTTTGTGAAGGAATCGTAATGTTTTCTTGCGTAAATAATATTTTCATAGATGTATTGAGAGGCAACAATCAAAATATTTATGTTTTTTAATATTTCTCTGAGAGATTCTCTAGATCGTAAATTATTTATAACGAGGACAGCTCTCTTTTGTAGCATAAAAATATCTTGAATGCTAGCAGCAGAACCCCACCAAAATAGACCAGAAGTCATTACACTATGAAAATAAATAAAATATACCAATCTTGCCGTTTCAACATTTGTCAAGAGTCTAATTTTCTTAATAGCAAATGCTGCATAACTCAGTCTACTTGACAAGTTATCAATATGAGGATCCCATTGCAGTTGGGAATCTAGTGTAATACCAATGAACTTTTTCGATTCCACCGACTCAACTTTTTTCACTTTTTACATTTATACAAGTGTACTAACATACCTCACATTAGGTAATGCAAACTTTTATGCATTTCGTTTAATTTGAATTAAGCTTTAAATTATTATTACCAAACGACTGTAGAACTTTGTCGAGAGCATCATTTACATTGTCAAAACAATCATTACCCCTCTTAACTTTAAACACTAAAGAGGTGTCATCAGCAAAAATAATACTGTTTCACATAAATTCTTCGTAAAGCAAAAATAACTAGTGAAAATAACGTTTGTTTTTGGGAACCCTCTTAAATATTTATTTTATTCTGTTTTTTAGTATTTATCTGTAACGATAAATACTATTTATTTAATATTTATAATTTTATATTTTATATTATTTAATACAATGATATTATAGATACGCAATACATACCAAAAATCTGAAGCTACTAAAACTAAGACGTTTGTCTTAGTTTTTTCGTTTTTCACTTCATTACTCATTCAACTCCCGCCAAGAAAGTACAAAAAAATGCTCCGCAAAAACAAAGAAAAACAGTAGATAAAATACGATTCTCTTTCACAAATACATATAATACGAAAGAATATTAAGTTTCACACTTAAATCATTAACATTTTTGGCAATAAATACAAAATTAAAGCTAGGTTATAAAATAAAAATATTTAATTTTCATAAATAAAATTTCGACATTTTGTCGTCAGTGTCGCCACTGCTATTCACTTTCAATTTTCCCAAGTATATGGGAGTCTTTTTTTTTTAACGTGGCTATAATTTATCTAAATATCTTTTTATAATTAATTATATAGCTCAGCTGAAGTATAGGCAACTGCGCTTATTTTGTTGATATTTTTTTTATACACGCACACAGATACTAATGTGATATAATTTTTTCAATGCGTGGAATTCGTTAGTTATCGAGATACAACTTTTGAAAATACGTAAAATTGAACCTTGTTTGATGTTTTATGAACTTTGATAAATGTTTTTGTCTTAACCACTGACCTTATCGAAAAACAAAGGGATATATATGCACAGAGCCTACTTTCGTGATTGGTTTTTTATTTCAAAGTTTTTTCAAAGAAATTTTCAAAGTTACAGTATTTTACTAATTGATCTTATACATATATCTACACTACTCGTTCATTCATACATTCATCACAATGGGTGAAATTTTCGACAGCTGGCAATACAATATCAATTACCCATTTTTTCGTCCATTCTATCGTTCGCACATATTCTATCTTTGTTTAATTTAAAGTTTAATCGTAGATATGAGGGAGACAAATATAATAAATCTATATATAATATATAGTATAAATATTATTTGCAAAGCTACGTCCTGATTTCGGAAAAGTGCTAAGCTTTTTGGCGCGTCTGTTGTATGGGATTGCTTCTCTAGTTATTAAACTCATTGATTTAATATATTTTGAAATGCGTTTCTTTTTTTTTCCAAACAAAAACTGTCAATAGGCGGCTACTCAAAGTCAAAGTCAAAGTCAAAGTCAAAATAATCTTTATTCAAATAGACTTCTTAAAAGTACTTTTGAATCGTCCAACATTTTTTCCCTACCACTCGTTCAGGACGTCTTTTGGCTGATAAGAAGAACGAGCAAGAAACTCACCAGCTCTAATATGAGTAATGACATTTACAAAAACCATGTCATTACCAGATCAATACATTATAAACAGAGATAAAAAAAAACTATGGTCTTATAATAATAACATAATCATTTAATAATAATGGAAACAAGATAATGAGTTTAGAAGTAATCACCTATCCAGTTGCTGGATCATCTCAAGTCCAAGCGTTCTTATCTGTTACATAATCGGATACCTTATAATAAGCTTTTTTAATAAGTATTTTTTTAATAGTAGATTTAAACTGCATGATATCTAATTGTTGTATTTTGCTTGGGACCTTATTGTAGAAGCGCACACAAAGACCCTTGAAAGAGTTATTAACTTTTTGCAGTCTAGTGACAGGCACCGTTAATTTATTTTTATTTCTTGTATTAAAATTGTGTACATCACTTTTAATAGAAAACAAACTAATATTTTTACGAACGTACATTAAGTTCTCGTATATGTATTGAGAAGCAACAGTCATAATGTCTATTTCCTTAAATTTCTCCCTTAAAGAGTCCCTAATCCTAAGATTATAAATTGATCGAATTGCTCTTTTCTGAAGCACAAAAATTGTTTGTATGTCGGCAGCATTTCCCCACAATAGGATACCGTATGACATAACACTATGAAAGTAACTGAAGTATACTAATCTGGCAGTATCTATGTCAGTTAACCTACGTATCTTCATTACGGCATATGCTGCAGAGCTAAGTCTACTCGACAATCTATCAATATGTGGGCCCCATTGTAGTTTAGAATCTAATGTTATTCCTAAAAATACTGTGGTATCCACAAGGCCCATGTTCTTATCTTTTACATTAACATTTATATCTACTTTTTTAACATTAGGTAGTACAAATTTTAAGCATTTTGTTTTTCCTTCATTAAGGAGAAGATTATTTACATTAAACCAATGTACTACTTTAGCGATAGAATTGTTCACATCGTCATTTAGAGGTAACCCTCTTTTAATTTTAAACAAGAGTGAAGTGTCATCCGCAAACAAAACTATTTCGTGATCATCCCTTACGAAATAAGGCAAGTCATTTATGTAAATCAAAAACAAGAAAGGACCAAGTATTGAGCCCTGCGGAACGCCCATCTTAATTTTCGATCCAGGGGATCTTTTGCCATTGATATCAACCCTCTGTACTCTGTCAGTCAAGTATGAGACAATAAAATCCAATGAGTTATCTCTAAATCCATAAAAATGCAGTTTCCTAATCAATGTTTCATGAAAAACACAATCAAATGCCTTAGATAGGTCACAGAAAACACCTAACGCATCATGTGAATCCTCCCAGGCATTAAAAATTTCTTGTATTAAGTCGACACCGGCTTCGGTTGTCGAGCGACCCCTTGTAAAACCAAATTGTTGTCGATTCATAAGCTTATTCTTGTAAAAGTACGTTTGTATTTGATCCAGCATGATTTTTTCAAAAATCTTACTAAACGTAGGTAGCACGGATATAGGTCTAAAGTTAGTAGGGTCAGATGTGCTACCCGATTTATGTAAAGGAATAATTTTACTATATTTCATGAGCTCAGGAAAAATACCACAATCAGTACATTCATTAAATATATAAGCTAAGATTGGAGCTATTGTCTCAATTACCGATTTAGAAACTTCAATGGAATTACCCCATAAATCAGCAGTTTTCGTTTTCTTTAGCTGATTAAAAGATTTTATTATATCTTTAAAATCAATGTGTTGAAACTTAAATTGGCTATTAGAATTATTTAAACTTGCCTTTAAAATAGATTCAGCAACAGTGGAAGAGGAATTCAAAGATTGTGTAATTAAGACTGGAATTTCAGTAAATAAATTTTCAAATACTGTAGCAACTTCAAGATCTGATGTTACTTTTTTATTATCAATGTTTAAATTAAAATTTATATTCCGGGATTTTTCTCTTCCAGTTTCACTATTTATGATATTCCACGTCATTTTAACTTTGTCTTTACTATTTTCAATTTTTGCATTTAAATAATTACATTTGGCTAAACGACACACTTTTTTAAATAATTTAGAGTAATTTCGTACATATTCTTTGAAGTCCTCACTTGTGTTATAATTACGTTCATCATATAGTTCATAGAGCCTTTTTCTGCTTTTGTAGATTCCTGGTGTAGCCCACACACTAAAAGTTATAGGATTACTAATACTTATTTTTTTTGGGACAAAAATCTTATTGAATTCTGTACAATAAACATCAAAGAAATCTTTGTACAAATCATTGGGATTACTATTATGTTTCAAATGATACAATTTACTATCTAATTGATTTTTAAAACGTTCCAAGCGACTCATACTTTTTGACACAACTGTAATGTCTCTCCTAGCCACAAACGTACATTTATGCGGAAAGCTAACTAGTTGTCCAAAATGATCTGACGGTAGTTGTTTAATTATCTGTCTTGAAAGTGGTACTAGATCTGTAAAAATGTTGTCAATACATGTGGACGAAGTAGCAGTTACTCTAGTAGGCTCCTTAAACATGTGCGCAAGATTATAGGACATAAATAGATTTACAAGTCTTGTACATGAATTGGAGTTTCCTAATAAATCAACGTTAAAATCACCCCCAATCACTAATCGTTTGCCTTTGCTATATACCTTTTTTAATGCTTCATCCATAACAGTTTCAAAGAGATCATAATGAGAAACTAAACTTGAAGGAGGTCTATATACGCTCAGTACAATCAGCTGGTCCAGCTCTATACAGGCAATCTCTATTATTTCCTCAACCGGAATTTTCAATATTGATATCACCGTTTTTCCGATATATACCTATATTTCAGGATGTTGGGATATCGATATATTCGGTATTTTTAACATTTCATTTATCTCTAGGAGTCACATCACTGATTTTAAAGAAACAAAACGTCAAAAAAAGTTTACTTGTTTGTTTAACAAGTTTTTACAATATTTATAAAACTTCGCTACTTTTTATATATTTGAAATAATTATTTAAAAAAAAATGTGCTACGTTATAATAACAGGACGAAGTTTGGCATGGCTACTGTTAAGTGTAGTTTCGTTTATGCTAATTTTAACCGGGATTATGACCCCCAAATGGTTGTTGGGACAACCAGTTGTTTTAAATGAGAATAATGTAACTTCTTTTTATGTTCCCAGTGTAGGTATATATAACAGGTAAGCATTGAAAGTGTTTTTATCTCAACAAGAACATATGCAATTTGATTGTAAAACCAATGCTTAATTAACAAACAATAGTTTTTCAATTTGGAGATAGAGATTTGTATAGGTAATTACCCAGTTGCACAAACGTCTGTTAAAATTTTCATTGGTTTAATGCGACACTAAAAATACAAAAAAAAATTTATTGGTTTAGAAACAATACAAATTTCATATTTTGAACAATCAGTATGCTGTATTGCCGACGTAATCGCATGCAAATGCAAATGCGAACATTTATGAAATCTTGTCAGTTGTATGGCAATGTTTCGCATATTCTTTGTCTCGTTCGATTATTAGCTCGATGAAATGGCTGTGTCTTTGTCAGTACGGTTTTGTGCTCAACTGCAAAAAAGATTGTTACACAGATGCACATATTTCGCATTGAGGGCTAACACCCAGCTAGGATTACTATCCAAAATATTGTTTCTTATTAGGTGACAACCTTGTCATCATTCACATAGTTTGGCAGATGTTTAGCAGTCACGGTGTACTAATGCCATTAGCATTTTAAGTTACCATTAAGTCAAATTTAATTCTTTTAATTAGTAATTCCAGTTTAATTCAATATTAATTTAAATTTTTGTTTCAAATAAAATTGAGTATCTATTTACTGAAACATATTGAATCATTGCAGGTAAAATCTGTTACTGAATATAATACAAATTTTACAGGAGTGTAAATTAAAAGTTTTTCGTCCTGGTTTAAGGAATGCTCATTGTACCCTGTCATCTATTGTGATACTCAATTTCAGCCTATTAGCCTGTATAGGTTTTGTATTTCAAATTTATTTGGTCTCTTTTCTGCTTTATGTTTTTTTCATGTGAGCAAGGATATTTGATATTTATAAGATTTTGTGACCAGCGAATAGTAAAGTTGATGTGATGCGAGTTTTGATTAGTGATATGCCATTTCTGAATTCCATGTAATTGTTTCACCTATCACTGACTGAAGCTTGTGATTAGCAACCACTGAGTTTTCATTGTATGCTAGGTAGACCACATCATCCAAGCATAAGTTGCTACTTTTACCATAGGAGATGGGGAGATCAGAAATCATTATGAGCTACAAGACAGGTCCCAAGAGAGATCCTTACGGGACACCAGCTTAAATCTTGTTTAGCTTTTACTTTGCATCCTATATTTAACTTGGGTTGACTTTAACAATGATACGATGTGATTATTGAAAAGAATCAACAGGGAGTATATCCTTCATTTTGCATTTTTACTTTATGCCAGACAGGATCAATAACCTTTTGCGAGTCTGCAAAGTCTCTTTTGTCGAGTCTCTTTTGAAATGCTGCAGATATATTAAATAATGGTTATATTTTTAGGTGCCTACGTATGAGGAACGAGATTAATAATTGTGCATCATTCTCATTCTACGGATTAGCTACGCAAGATTCAGTCTATCCTAAACCATGGAAAGCTGCAATGTTTTTCTTGTCTCTCTGTACGTAACTATTGTTATATCATATGATTTCATTAAGTGTAATCACAGTCTGATTTATTATACTGGCCATGAGATACATACAGCATATACAGTATAAATACATTAAACATACATTGACAACCTCCATGGCCAAGGAGCTCGTGAATCAATATCGAGGTTTCGCCATCCCATTCACAGTCAAACCATAAGGTTAATATACAAAATGAAATTTTCTATATTGTTTCTGGTTGGGCGTTCTGTTTATTGTTACAAATTTCCATAATACAAGTGCTTTAGATACTTAATTGGGGATCTGAGTAATATGTATGATGCTTAAAATTAATAAAATAATTCTGTAGTTTAGTACCTTAACAATACAGCCAACACAATTTATATATCTGTGCCTACACATTATTAAACTTTTATAAGTCATTATCAGTGTTATTACTGTTTCACTTTTCTTATATTTGAAGCTTTTTACTTTTCGTTTGGGCTTTACAGGTGCAGCTGTTCAATTTTCTACAGTACTGGGAGGAGTGCTGGCTTGCTGCGTTCAGTCTGTGTTTAAAAAAAGTGTAATTTCACTGGCCGGCGCCACACAAGCTCTTGGTGGTATGTATTGTATACGTATAGTCTATGGCGTCATTCAATTAAAGAACTAGCCGTTTCGTAGTTACCCCAAAAAATCCCTTTTTGATTCAATAATTCCTTAAATCAATCAATAGAAATTGATGTTAGGTTTAGACGCGATATTTTTGTTTGCAGGTCTGTTTGGAGTGCTTGGTCTACTTTTATACCCTTGGGGATGGGGTGCAGACCGAGTGAAGAGGCTGTGTGGCGAGTACTCGGAGCCCTATATCCCTGGAGATTGCTCTATAGGTAAGTAGTGTATTAACTGTTTTCTCGCAACTTTGATCTCGTGAAATGTAGCTTATGTTTCCGCGTATGATGTAGCTTCCCATAGGTGAAACAATTCTTAAAATCAGTCCAGTAGTTTTGGAGCATTTGCTCCATGAATTTCGAATCTTTCTTCTTTATTGAATGAATTTCAAATCTTTCTTCTTTATTATTGTTATAGATTAGCATTAACTGACCTTTATTGAAGTTAGTTTTGATCTTCTGTTTTGAAGTTTTAATGACATCTGAAAAGTGCATTGAAGGAATTTGGGACCAACGATTATTTACCTACTGAAACATGAAGAAGTTTGAGATAATAAATTGCGAAAGTTGCTAATTTCCAGATCTCAGATTTAACCCGCTATACATGGGTTATCGAGCTCCACCACGATACCTTCACATCAAAATTCAAAGTCATGATTATTTTGTTTAAGGTTGGGCTTTTTTCGTGACTGCGACAGGAGTAGCGCTAGTGTTCTTAGCTAGTGCGCTATCCAAAACAGCTGATAAGGCATCCAATTCGGACAAAGTACAATTCCAAATGGACGAAGGAAAACAGCTGATCTGTCTCGTTTGATTAAAACAAATAATATATGTTAGAAAGAGGTAACTATTGTGTTTATAATATATTAGGATATGGTTATATATTATATAGGGTGTTAACAAATCAGTTACAGATATTTTTATAGCTGATAGCATTCGGTTCTCGGAATTAATTTCAATATAAATCATTATAGGTTTTATAATATTTTCAGAGAAAGCTCAGAAAAGAAATTGCTTTCTAAAAACACCATGTTATTAGCAATGGTGTTTTATCACTTAATTACATTACAAAAGGCGAGGAAAATCAAAAATAGTATTTTATATATTAGAATCATACAGCATACCTCTTGTTAGAATGAGATAAGCATACTTGCTTAACTTTACGTGTTCACACCAATCTCCTATAGTCGTTGTATAGGACGCACGAAAAAATGGCCGCGTTCAATGACGTTTTATTATTTTGACTAAAATAAAAAGAGTAAATACAGTACTTACGTATGAAATGATATATTTTTTGTTTTTCTCATTGTCAATGTAATTTTTGCATTGCATTAAACACGCAAGAAGGCATTTATTTTATACAACTTTTCAAAGAAAATTACGAATGAAAATGACATTAACAGAAACGTGACTAAAATGAAACTCAGGCAATTGCCTTGCTTTCTTGTTGTCAATGTTGTGCGCAGATAACCCATCTAAACTTTTTAATTTATCATTGGTTATGAGCCTGAGTTTTTTAACTATCACTAAACTGACCATTTCACGTTGATAAATCAAATACTGAATGTCATAATGTTATTTTGTTAGTGTGGTTATGAAGTTTAAGACAAAAAATTGTGGACATGACAGAGAACATTAAATACTTTATCAGTTAAATGAACAGGTGGATTATGTTTAGACAGAGTTATATTTTTTCAAGAAAATGTCATGAAAACTTTTCTTTATTTCTATTTAAGCTTTTTTTTTCGATAGAAGATCCCATAAAATATGTGTAACTAATTGTTTATCACTCGATATAGATGAATGTATAATTTTAGGTGGTGTTCTGTCACGTAACGATTATGGCTTACACTCAATTTGTATATTTACCACTAACATTTCTTAAGAATAGCTAATATGCATAATTTTTTATTGAGTCAATACATGCTGTAAAGTTCAAATAAACTCTTCAAGCGTAAACATTTTAATAATTCATTGAGACGTAAACATTTAAAATATCGATTTGACAAGAATAGAGGTATATACAAAATTTTGATGTCAATGTCATTTAAAAAATTTAAAGTAAAGTGTTATCTTTGTAAAGTGTAAACAGTCCAGAAAGCGTCGCCACTTCAATAATGATTTAATTATTTTGATTCATTAATGATAAAGGTTATATTTTATTATACGTGATATAAAATATTTTTATTGAGAGATCTAAAATTTACGCTGTTTTAATAGCCTATTTTCCAAATTATTTTGTGTTTAAAATGAAAGTTCCTAGATTATTTAATCGACACTTCTTTATCTAAGTAATAGTTCTGTATAAAAAAATGTATACAACAGATTATTCTAGACATTTCTAATTCTCTTAAATAATCTTGTTCCAGTGATTTTAAAGTAAGAAATATATAAATAAGTAAAACCTATAGAAGGTCTTTACAATCAATTTTGGAATAAATTACCTACAGATTAAGTCTAACATTTTATTGAAAAAATGGTGCCACTTTTTAATAACCTGATGTGTTTCCGATTGTACGTAAAGACGAGAAGTTTGCTTCATACTTGTATTGAGATTATACTCAAAGCTGCCTCAACAATATTAGTTTTCAAGTATCATCAAACTTTACTTTGATTTATTACTAAAGTCTATCGGCCGGTTTCTGAATTGAGAAAAATACAAAATCTCAACTAATTAATCTCAATAATTTAAGTTTTATATTTTTCATAAGGCAGAAAGGCCTAGTTTTTATCAAACTACTAACTTATCATTAAAAAATGAAAATCTGTTTAATTGACATTTAAGTACAGTTTGAGATGTGCTCAACTTTAAATACTCAAATCATAAACCAGGTCTGTTTACGTTTTGTTATCTAACGGCCGGTTTCTGAATAGAGAAAATAATAAACCTAAACTGGTTTTTCATTAATTTAAGTTTATTACGATTCACAAGTCAAAAAGTTCTAGTTTTATCAAACAGCTATCAACTGATCATAAAAAAACTAAAACCAGAAACGAGAATCTGTTTAAGTACAGTTTGAGACGTTCTTATCTTTTTGTTCTCAATTCAGAAACCGGGTGTTAGTATTTTGCATTTATATGCTTAGCAATAGTAATATAATATTAAGAAATGGCACTTATTACTAACTTATACTATTGTGTGCATTTATGTTTATTTTAATTTACGACTAAAGACTTATGTTGGTCCACATCTAAGTACTTTGTAATAGTAATATGATATTGAGGAACGATTACTAGTGCATAAAGTTCTACAAAGTGCGCATAAAGTACCATCTATTTTATGCATTTTTTTTGTTGTGATAACGCATTTCTATAATGTATCTATATTCGATATTATGATGAATATTCTTATTCCAGTGGTTAGTAATTTAATTACTCTTCTTTTCCGCTATTGAGTTTTGGCAGTTGGAAATAATCCATTTTTTATATTTGACTGATCAGTATTTCCGTGTATAACGGAATAAGTCCATATTGAAAAAAAAAACCCAATAGCAATATAGAACTGAAGACTTGTGACTGTAAAATTTGTATTATTTTTTAAAATAGTTCCTGTTATTGTGAAGGCAAAAGAATCTATATCTAGACGTCCATGTCGTAAACAATATTTTTTCGGTGCCTTTAGTATGTTATTGTACAGCAAATGTTATTGGATTATTTTGCATTAATATGTCAATCCCAGTGATTTTTAGGGTAGTTATAAAATAAAATGAAAACAAGAAAATATCTACAATATAATTATCATAGCAATTGTGTTTTGTGCCTTTTTCTATATAACGTAACTTCGGTATTATAGACTTTCAGTAACCGTAAATTAGGTTTAAAATGTCTTTATGCTTTAACAAGTGCACTGCCATGGCATCTAAATTATAATAAAGTATTATTTTAGACACGTAAGATTTTGATCCAAAGCTTTCTTTTATTTCTATCGGTTGTTGCAATGAGTGTTTCATCTCTTTTTTTACCGTCATTCGAACAAAGATGACACTTATTGTTGGTGCCATATATTAGTGATTATGGATTATTTACATTGGATAGGTCCAGCGTGTGGAGTTTTTATTTGTCAGTCTAACAGCCAGTTGCATAAACTTCCATTAAAATTTTCATTAGTTTAAAGCGACATTACCGATACAAATTTGACATTCATTAGAGCTTAAAGACGTCATTAAACCTTAATGGACGTTTGTGCAACTGACCGTAATAAACTCAAACGGCCAATTGCACTCATGCATTCGTTTTCGACTGATGTAAATAAACAGTAATAAATTTATATTATTTCGTTGTCCCACCCAATGTATAATCAAGTCGGTATTAATACGTCACGAAAAAAGATTGTAATTGAAAACGCAAGTGGCAAGCCTAGTATACTGAATTTGTCACCTTTGACATTTCGGAATTAATACATATATATATATATATATATATATATATATATATATATATATATATATATATATATATATATATATATATGATTTGATTTAATTATACTAGTGTGGTCAAACATTACTTTTACATTTAGTACGCTAGATAAATATCATTGTCAGCGTATGTATCATTCAAAAGTCGCATTTTGTCATAGATTATAATTATGCTGCCTTTTTCATCGCAGTCTTCCAAGCTCTCAAGAGACTTTTTTATACAAATAGATTATTGTAAGCCGTGTATTCTTTTTAAAATATAGAACTGAATACTCATTAATATCATTCTTAGTAAAATTATTTAGGTTATTCCAATCCTATTACTAGTAGTGTATTTGGAAAAGAATATTTATACTTACAACTAGCATTCGCCAGCGGCTTTGCTCGCGTGGTCCATAGGGAAATGTTTAGTGGGATAAAAAGTATCCTATTATCTAAGTCGGCTAATACCCTAACTGTATACCAAAATTTATCAAAATCCGTTCAGTAGTTTCGGCGTGGTTGATGGACAAACATCAAAACAAAGAAACTTTTACATTTATAATATTAGTAGGATTCATAAAATAATAATAAAAACAATTGACTTTTTATTTTTATTGAAAATGAGAATAATACTTAGTCTTTTTTAAGAAATAAGGCTGTATGTAATATCATTTAAAAAGTGAACAATATGTGATTAGGCATTTTATTATGTGACCAGAATCTCAAACGTTTCAGTGACTATTCATATTATAAGATAATATACTCATGATAGCAGTAAAAATATACAACATACAAATAATAAATTAGCTTTTGCAAAGTATGTACTTTCTAAGAATTGAAAATTTTCATTAAGATTTTTTATTTATTACGCATTCTTATTTGGAACACGAATTCCTAGTGTTAAAAGTGTAATAATAAAATGATCACTTTACTGAAAGTAACGGTTTATGGAGTATAATATAAAAGTACTTCTTATGATTCATAGACTTTGTGATGGTTTTGAACTAAAATGACATTTTTTTTTTTCTAAATAACGGCCTGTCAAAATACCTGATATTAATATGTACCTATATAATAACTTTTACAGGCAAACTTTTTTAAGCTTGGAATGTGTAATCTATAAGAATTGACTGGTAGCTACAATATGTGACATATTTTTACGGGCCACTATTTTAAATAAAAAATGTCGAACAGGGGTTTGACCTTCTAATTCTCTAGTTATAAAATACACAAGTCATAGCTTTATTATGTCCATATTTTGCTACTCCGGATTATTTTTTTGCTAAACGACTAACACCCAATCAGGAAGTATTTAAAAAAAGAAGAAAGCACCCAAAAAGGACCACTAGATGGCGACTCTAGCTAAAGTTGATTTTAGCAGGAAATTAATGGACCAAAGATGGACATTTCCGTT